ATGGGAATGACGATTTTCAAAAATTGATATAAGTTATTTCATCGCCGGTTAAGTAAATAAAAATTCAAACGTAAAGAGGCTTTAACACGTTGTTCAATGGGGAAAAAGGTTGCCAAACTTATGGAGGGGAGTGTACATGTGTTTTACTGTCGCAATGATAGATACTGAATAACGATATATTTACACATACACGTACTATCAACTGATTCGGAAAAAGTCGATAGGGAATGAAAAAATTGGATAATTTATTGTCCTTTGGGGGTCAGCTTATTAGGCGATGTATGGACCAAATGATAAAATACATGAACACGTGTATTTTATCAGTCTCTAATACAATAATATTATATGTATATTGGCACTCGATAACCTTTGCTCCTTGACTGCATTGATCAAAGGAATGTTCTTGCAACAATGGAAATAACGACCCTGGGATAAACAAATAGATGATTTCTAATTGGTAATGTTTTCCGATAAGCCCCTTTCTCTCAGCGAATCTGTTTTTGTGTGATTTTATTTACTTATCATTGTAATAAGCGTATCCAATAAATGAATCTACATTCTTTGATTAAGGAAAACATATTTTGGTCTAACCTTACTTAACCTAATCAAAAATTAGGTCGATAAAAAATCAAACGAGCCTAAATGAAGTTATACGAAATCCATGTCTTGACAAGTACACGAGGTCTGATTCACTCCCTAACCAAACCCAACCCAATAAATGGTATGATAGCTACTTTTTGTGTCATTGAGATCATATCATCGACAAAACAGCACAGGGTGTCCATATTTCTTTATAATAACAATATGAAGTCGGTGTAAATTCTAAAACAACTTAATGGACACCCTGTACATTTTTCTATTGAATTTATAGCATAGAATAATTACACTGTGACGTTTGGCCTCGATATGGGTACGTGATACCTGACGTCAATATTTTTTATAATTAACATTTACGATATATCTTCTCAGTGTGAATGGCGGCGGTTTTCTATTTAATATTGACCCTTTGACATCGTTATTGATCATGAGTATATTCTGTCTCTACCTCTCATTATATGAGAGCTGAATTCTATATTTCGCTATGTTTCAACAATTATGTCCAATACATCTCGCTGTCGTTTCAGATCGTGGTCACTTTGCATTGTGAATTCTAGATCATTATTCATTTGTTTGGTTATTATATTCATTGTTGTTTTTGTAATTGTATTTTCAATACGTTTTCCCGATTCAAGGAACATCATTTAACATTATCTGGTGGACTCGAGTAGTACTTGAGATATGATAACCTATAACTCTAATTTGTAAATCAAACTATCGTTAGTAAAATCTGTTAAACTTTTCTTTACAATTTTGTTTCTCTTGAAAGTGACAGTAATTCAAATGTATCATATTATTAGATATGGATTTCTTTATCTTATAGTAAATAACAGTTTTAAACATTTCTCAAATAAAAGGAATTGCAATTAAAATTTAGATGTGTAGAATCCGTGTCTAAATGATATTTGAGACGGTCATTATTTGTTGATAATTCGCATAATTTATAAGCATTTCTTTGTAGCCGATACATCGTTGCTGATATATCGGGAACATTGAGCACGTCATGGAAATAAGAGCATTTTCTTAACTAATCTATTGAAACCATTTTTATTTCATAAAAGCATGCAAAATATATCCAGTTGAGAATATAGTTTGTTGGAATTCGTGATCTTGAGAATATTTTCAATAATTGAAGTGGAAATTGACAGATTAATTCCTGGGAATTTAGTAATAATGTATAACCATATTAATTAATAAAAAATTTGTAACGAAATGGTTTAGGTGAGAGTGGCCATTTTACAAATTATTCATTTTGAAAACTTTTCTCATTGAGCGATTTCTGTATATTTTGGAGTTTTCGATATCATCCCTTATAATGATCAACTCAAGGCGCTCACATGACAGCATTTTAGAAAGTTTACTTTAATTTCAAACCCCTTACTGGACTGTTATCCCTTGGCATTTTTTATAGTGAAACTCTAATGTATTTAAATGTAACCATTAGCTGATTTAATTATGCTATATGCAGTTACACATATAAATGGGGCTAAAGGGCTGTAACCATTTATAAGGTACTAATTACCCTGTTATGAGATATTAATAATATATGAGTTCTCAATTAACTTTAAAAGCTACTCCATTAAGGCATAGTGGAGCAAACTCTCAAAAACTTGCTGTAATTTGTACTTGGTTAAATAAAACTTTTATATTGTTTATGGCAACAAACATTTAGCGAAAATTGTCAGCAAACAACGGTCATTTAGTGCACCCAATTTATTTTGTTTATTGCTCCAGTATGAACACATTGATCTGACGATATATTTCCTGGTAGAAACATCTACATGTATGATGGGTTACCATGGCAATGACTTCATCCATCTTGATTTAAAATGTCTCAGTTGCTCCAACGTGCAATGTGAACCTGTACATATTGTCCTTTTCTCGGCGTGTTGTGGAACAAATGGTGGTCCTTTTTCTGGGGCGCACATGAATGTGTACTTTAACGTACATATTCACTTTGTTTAGAAACAAATTTCATTGACTGAGTTAACAAAAAATTGATCGCTAAAGCAAAGATACAATATACATTGGTATGCTAACTGGTATGATAAAAATTGGTATGATAACATTGGTATGATAAAAATTGATCGCTAAAGTAAAAATACAATGTACATTGGTATGATTAAGTAAGACATATATTGGCTCAATGGCTCAAGGAGCCATGCGATGGTAAACTATTTCGATATTTCTGATAGACTTCTAGAAGATAATTTCGAGTAAATATAGCCATATAGTAATGTAATAAATTACACCTTGTAATTTGAAGATTGTCTTCATCTTGATTCGTATATTCAACCACGTTTTAAGGAAGGAGACGCGATGTGTATGAGAATCGGGGAGGTCAGCTAAAAATATTACGTGATGTTCATTGATTATGAAAAAAACAATATCCATAAAGCAAGCTCAATTTACACCTTTTCACCAATAACACTCTCTTTCATCTACTTCAAATTTTAAAACACACAAAGTGATGATGATGTTATATTTGGAACAATATTAATAGTGACGTCATTCGTCATAACTGGCATGGGAAGTACCATTTAAGATGTAAAAATGAACATTTGCGAGTGCCCTTTATTTATGATTGAAATAACACATTGCTAATAGCATGACTGAGAACGTTATTAGATCATCGGTTTACGGAAATAAATATTTAATGACCTGTTGTTTTCATGATAGATGTGTCCATGTTTTTTATTGCAATGTATGTTTGATGAGATCGAGGTGACCGTGTCTCGTCAAGCTTTGTGTGCAAATCATAGTGACGTGAAATGTATTCAAATTGACAGGTTGTACATAATCTTAAGAAATCCCTAGTCAATTATATTTGCCAAAGTGAATATGGAATTCATTTTGAAATCACGTGGATTGTGTATTCTGTTTAACGCTATTCTATGTGTAAGATATATTACATGAATAAAGGGCAGGGCAGGCAATTACTTGTGCAGGTGCGAACAAAAGCCTAGCAGACTTTTAGCATATGTTTTAAACATTGGAGGATCTAGGAATATAAGACATTAGCTAAGCGCAAGTAGCGTATAAGGGTTACGACCAAAACACAGAACTAGATCTGCGTGCGACCAGTGAAATGGAAACAGACCCTTGTACTCCTCACGATAGTCTTTATGCTCTTTCGTGTGTGACCAAGACAGGAATATCTTTCATTGATTGACCAATTAAATCTCCCACTTTATCCATGACCTATTTTTGTTCACCAATCGGCTATAACATAATCAAGATTCTTTCCTCTTGTGTATTTATTTCCCTTTCCATGACCTTTGAATATCATAAATAATTAGTTCTTAATTAAAATCAAGGCATTTTCAGATTATCTCGTTCTCTTACATCTTTTATTTGGCCTACCAAGTACACGGGTAGTATCTAAAGCCCCGCTATGATTTAAAAGTCGCGAGCAAGTTCCCGCTGAAATCGTGAGGAATAAAAAGAAGCCATGGGTTATTTTTTGTGTTCTTGAATTGTATGATTTACAAAACGTTTTCTTTTAATTTTTCCCAATGATTACATGGTATTGAGACTAAAAAAGCAACTGCTGGAAAAAATGTATCACGAACGGTCGTTCTGTGGTTCGTTATTTGTCAATTGAAGAGAGAAAGTATCATTTTGAATCTTTATCTCTATGTTTCTATACGTTATTGGTGAAGAACGATGTTGTCCTGTGGTTGAAATAACGATAATGATATGAAATAAAGATGTACCGAGTTTCACTTCCTAAAGCTTTACAGAACATTTTATATTTAAATTTTATCATATCCCTCAAGGCCCCGCTTCTAGCAGGAGCAATTAAGCAAAGATCCCGCTGAAATCAGGAGGAGGCCCCGCTGAAAACATGAGGAGGTCCCGCTGAAAACAGGAGCAAATGTCTCTCAAAAATGGAGTGAATCCCGATTATACCCTGAAAATCTCCCACTTTCGTACCCACCTTGATCCACTATTGTACCCAGTTTGATGAATACATTATTTGTCAATACAATTCTCAATAACAGCAAACACAACTGTTAATATAGTTATGGAAAACTGCAGTTTCATATTTCCATGCCATTTTACAGAATAAGAAAGATCATCTGAGAAATGTGATGAGTATTAGATCGGACGAAATGTTAAACATTTAACCTCATTTTCATAATTTGAAATTAAAGTGCAATATAGGATATATTGTGCTCAAAAAATTCTGTATTGGCACGAGATGAAATCAAGTAGAAATACAGCATATCGAGAGCACAATATATCCTATGTTGCGCTTCAAATCGTTGTATAACGTTTTTTATCGTGTGATCTTACTACATAGTGCAAAGGAAATATTCTGTTATCTCTGTATTGCAACTGTCCCCTCTGTTCCATCTTTGAGTACAAGTCGATATTCAGTAAGATACACGAATAAGTGTGCGTTTAGGTCAACATAAAATGATTTAGTTAGAATAATGTTTATGAATATTATTCCTATATCAATCTCCTGTTGCTTACTTGCTTGCTCGCTTCCTACCTTCCTTGCTTCTTCGCTTCCTTCCTTCCTTGCTTCCTGGCTTCCTTCCTCGCTTCCTCACATCCTTCCTTCCTCGCTTCCTTCCATCCTTTCTTCCTTCCTTCCTCGCTTCCTTCCTTCTTTGCTTCCTTGCTTCCTCACTTCATTCTTTCGCTTCCTCCCTTCCTAGCTTCCTTCCTTCCTCACTTCCCTCCTTTCTTTCTTGCTTCCTTCCTTGCTTCCCTCCTCGCTTCCTTCCTCGCTTCCTTCCTTCCTCCCTTCCTTGCTTCCTCGCATTCTTGCATCCTTCCTTCCTCGCTTCCTTCCTTCCATCCTTGCTTCATTCCTTCCTTTCTTGTATCCTCCCTTCCTTGCTTCCTCACTTCCTTCCTTCTTCGCTTCCTCGCGCGCATCCTTCAATCCTCGCTTCATTCCTTCCTTGCTTCCTTCCTTCCTTGCTTCCTCGCTTACTTCCTTCCTCGCATCCTTCCTTCCTTGCTTCCTCCTTTCCTTGCTTCCTCCCTTCCTTACTTCTTTCCCTCCTTGCTTCCTTCCTTCCTGGCTTCCTTCCTTCCTTGCTTCCTCGCTTCTTTCCTTCCTCGCTTCCTTCCTTCCTTGCTTCTTTCCTTCCTCGCTTCCTTCCTTTCTTCCTCGCGTCTTCCTTTCTTGCTTCCTTCCTTCTTTGCTCCCTTCCTTCCTCGCATCTTTCCTTCCTCGCTTGCTTCCAACCTTGCTTCCTCGCTTCATTCCTTCCTTGCTTCCTCACCTCTCCCTTTCATCGCTTCCTTCCTTCCCTCCTTGCTTCCTCGCTTCCTTCCTTCCTCGCCTCTTCTTTTCTTGCTTCCTTCCTTCCTCGCTTCCTTCCGTCCTCGCATCTTTCCTTCCTTGCTTCCTTCCTACCTTGCTTCCTCGCTTCCTTCCTTCCTTGCTTCCCCGCTTCCTTCCTTCCTCGCTTCCCTCTTTCCTTCCATGCTTTTTTCCTTCCTCGTTCCCTTCTTTCCTCCTTCTTTGTTTCCTCGCTTTCTTCATAAATTTCTTCCTCACTTCCTTTCCTCCTTCCTTCCTTGCTTCATTCCTTCTTTCCATGCTTCCTCGCTTGCTTTCTTCCATGCTTCCTCTCTTCCTTCCTTCCTCGTTTCCTTCCTCACTTCCCTCCTTCATTCCTTGCTTCCTTCCTTCCTCGCTTTCTTTTTTCCTCCTTCCTTGCATCCTCGATTCCTTCGTTTTTTCCTCGCGTCCTTCTTTTTTTGCTTCATTCCTTCCTTGCTTCCTCGCTTCCTCCCTCGCTTCCTTCTCTCCTCCTTCCTTGCTTCCTCGCTTTCTTCTTTCCTCCTTCCTTGCTTCCTCGTTTCCTTCATTCTTTCCTCGCGTTGTTCTTTTGTCGCTTCATTCCTTCCTTGCTTCCTTCCCTCCTTGCTTCCTTGCTTTCTCGCCTTCTTCCTTCTTTCCTTACTTACTTCCTCACTTGCATCCTCCCTTCCTTGCTTCCTCACTTCCTTCTTTCCTCCTTCCTTGCTTCCTCGTTTCCTTCATTCTTTCCTCGCGTTGTTCTTTTGTCGCTTCATTCCTTCCTTGCTTCCTTCCCTCCTTGCTTCCTTGCTTTCTCGCCTTCTTCCTTCTTTCCTTACTTACTTCCTTCCTTGCTTTTTTCCTTCCTTCCTTTCTTGCGTCTTTGCTTGCTTCATTTCCTTCATTGCTTCCTCGTTTCCTTCCTTCTTTGCTTCGCATCGTTCCTTCCTTGAACCCCCGGTTCCTTCCTTTCTTCCTCAGTTGCTTCCTTGCTTGCTTCCTCCCCTCCTCGCTTTCTCGTTTCCTTGCTTCCTTCCTTCCTTCCTTCATTGCTTCATTGCTTTTTTCCTTCCCTCCTTCCTTCCTTTTTTCCTTCCTTGCTTACTTATATTACTCCCACCTTCACTTCTTCGATTTACTTCCTCCATTCCTTCTCTACTTGCTTGCTAACTCAATTACTTACTTTGTTGCTTGTTTACTTATTCACGTCTTTGCTTGCTTTCTTGATTATTTACATTCTTTCATATGGCAGTGGAAAGACAAATTTTTATGAAAACCTGCAAACGAACAAACGAACGAGGAAAGAACGCACGGATGGACAGAAGAACAGCCTAAAAAACAATGAATGAACAAGACGAAAGACGAAAGCAAGCCCAAACGGACGGTCAGACGAACGCATGCGCACACAAACGGACAGACAATTGCACGAACGGATGCACGCACGAACGAACGAATGGACGGTCGGACGAACGCTGCCACTAACGCATGATTGGGCGATGCACGCATGAACGAACGGACCGTCGGACGAACGCACGCACGAACGAACGGTCGGTCGAATGCACGCACTAATGAACAGTCGGACAAAGAAACCAATGAAATATATGTGTCTTCAGAAGTATAGTCCTTGGAATAGTTAATTATGTAGAATGTACATTTAACTCCGAAATGTACAAAGTCTATTGACATATAAAAATTTGATCATGCCGCTGACAGATGGATTAGACTGTCTGAAGTTGAAGAAATATTTGTGATGTTGCCATAGAATGATATGTTATGTGATTGTCACTAATACGTTATTTGCACATTCGTGTACGTTCATATAAAGAAGCTCACTATATTCATGGAATAATGATGAAGCTTTCCTCGTGATCGAAGCGGGTAGTCGTGAAATTTGCTCGTGTTTTCAGCGGGGTCTCCTCATGTTTTCAGCGGGGCCTCCTCATTTTTTCAGCGGGGCCACTGGAACACCTTTAATAATGTATTTCGACCCCCATGGCAGGTGTCATTGTCCAGTAACTTATCAATACAGACCATCTTGATCCGATATTTATTATGGAGTATGTAAATCGTATTTATTGCCTTTATTTTAACGATAAAAGTAATATATGAACAGTAAATTATGCAAACGTGCATGTTGACGCCCCTTTCCTTCATGCAAGTAAAAAATAATCATTTTTCATGTCATTTTTTGTCAAATATATCTGTTTTCAAAGTTTTGCTGGAGTATCAAAGAACGGTAATAAGTATTTTCATCCTTTTGGTTCATTTTCCAAAGTGATACAAATAAACAGGACTATGCTCGCGATTTCAGCGGGAACTTGCTCGCGATTTTTCAATCATAGCGGGGCTTTAGATACTACCCGTGAAGTAGATCAATCACAGGTAATACTTCTGAACTCTGATTCAATGTTATTTTTTAATCATCGGTTTCTTGTCAGTAAGTCTATATACCCATTGTTTAAGTGTTATTGCCTAATTGAACAAATAGAATAATGACATATGGGATTAAAATATTTGTGGTTATCTTTGAGCGCACACACTATTCCGTGAATGGAATTTCTCAACTCTTAATCCTTTTTTCTCAATAATATTATTTGGTTTTGTAAAATAGAATGGTCAGTATATCGATGGAAGAAATAATTGCTTGTGAATTGTAGTTGATTGAGTTTAATGTCATTGATAAAATAAACAGATCAGTATCGTTGCAGAGGATTGGCAAAGAAAACATTATGACATGAACGTCATTAAACCCCATCCTTGTTACGCATATTTTAAATCCTAATAGAAAAGCTGTATCATATAATGTACATTTCTTGACTGGTGTGTGTTTTTATTCTGGAAGCTACATACGTGTACGTGGAAGCTTGAAGGTGAAACAATAATTAAGTGCAGAGGGACCATTCAACGATCATGGACCAGTGTCAAAATATATTTAAAGGATATGTATCGATATGTGGAACTGAATTCAACAATGTTTTTCTCTTACAGCAATTATTAAAAACATTCTGTAAAAAACACACTGTATTTTATGTAATGTTTTATGTAATGATTAAAAACAATTTAATGCGAAAATTATTTAGAAATATTTCATATAACTGTTTTTGTTAAGATTTTTGGTTTTTATAGTGTAGTTGTTTTTGCTCCTTTCTACCAATTCTTGAGAATGAAATAAAATGTCTTTCCGAACCTTGTTGGAACAAAATAGCATATACATCATGTTTCTAGACCTCTCAATATTATAGTTATGCAAAGGAATTTTTTGTTGATCTTAAACAAGTATTCAAAAAATTAAAACAAAATCCTCCCAAAATAAATAAAAATCAAGATAAATCCTTTATTTCATTAACAAGATACTTTTTTTAAATCAAACAAAATTTTCTTTGTACAATTACATGTTGTGTTTGTGTCGTTTTGTTCCAATGAGGTTCGGAAATATGTTTCATTTCACTCTGGAAACATGATACCAAGAACAAAATAAGTGTCTGATGTGTTTTCTAAAACAATATAGATGAAAGTATATATATATATTTTTTCAAATTATATTGTTACCATTCAAAAGTTGACCATTAAATTGACGATGTGTTAAATTCTAAGATTTTTTATGACTGGTTTAAGAGAAACGTGTGTTCAAAAAGTTCACCATATCGATACCGCTCCTTTGGATATTTCATCAAGACTTACATCAGTCTATTTTTATTATCTACAAAGAAACCACATAGATAAACATTATTTCAGCTGATATTCCTCTTGAAACATGGTGGATCTTTTAAACGCGGATTTCCCCTTTTTGAAGCTTTGAACTGAATTTACAGTTTTCTTTTTTCTCTCTTGTTGGCCTGTATATATTTTGAAAACGTCTCTAATAATAATCAATTATCATGACCTGCAATGGGCCTAAAATGTTATAATTGCCCTTTATATATCATTTACATGGAAAACAAATGTTCTTTTCTCGGATACAACAGCGCTTCCAGTCGAAGGTGAATTACTTATAATATTTTTGCAAGAGAAACCATTCTGGTGATACCAACAATCATTCCAATGTAATTGATTTATCATTGCATCTTAGACGAACAGATGCGCCGATTTTAGAATTAAGTCGCATTTAAATCCGATACCCAATGTTTCTTCTCCAATCCGGTATACATTAACATTCGATACCCAATGTTTCTTCTCCAATCCGGTATACATTAACATTCGATACCCAATGTTTCTTCTCCAATTTGGTATACACTAACATTCGATACCCAATGTTTCTTCTCCAATTTGGTATACACTAACATGTCTTTTTACGAGTGCAATAATGAATAAAGTCGCATTTAAATCCGTTACCCAATGTTTCTTCTCAAATCCAGTATACAGTAGAGATCTTTCAAATGAGCCATGGCTTGAGTCTTAACAATTTTTCCTTGCAGATATAGACCAAAAAGATGGATTTTTTAGCACGTTTTCCTCTAAATGTTGGGCATATTTTGGGTTCTGTAGCACAATTTAATTTTTTGTGATAAGACCGGTTTTCTTATGGCGAGGCTCATATATGATTCGCGTATTTAAAAAAAACTTTTAGGATTTTTAGGCTTTTTAGCGCATTCTGGACGATTCAAATGCGTTCTGATCGTCCTAGGGATCAAAATATGATTTACGTATTTTAAAATCGAATTTTTTAGGCTTATTTGACACGTTCTGAGCGATCCTAGGATCAAAATATATGATTTATTAAAAAAGCAGGGGCATGCTCCCCTGAAAAAGTTAAGAATTTTGGGCTGATTAAGTGCGTTCTGGGCAATTCGAGGATCAAAATATATGATTTATGTATTTATATAAAAATTTAATATTTAGGCTTATTTGGTACCTTCCGAGCGACTTAAGGATCAAAATATATGATTAATTTCCGAATCATTTAGTTGCCTCGCTATTCTAGTCAATTTAGAATTTTATAAAAAGAAAGTGGCAATCACATCAAAATACACCGTACATACACCGCCTATGTCACCAAATGTTACCTTCTACCTCGAAATGTCAGAAAATTCTTCAAGAAAGCAAAAAGGTAGGTCCACATTATTTTAGGAGATATCTGGGGGAGGTTCGCACGAGTCCCCCGAGCCCCCCCCTGTCTACGGGCCTGGTTTGGGATGGATCTTATCATTTAGTATTGGCCCATGTGTTTTAAAAGCGGTATACTGTATTCGATTGGTATATCAAACTATTGTTCTATAACTCAATATCTGTAAGATTTACGCTTCACTTGAAGATGAATAGACATAATTCAAATTAACCATACCAAGATACGTATAGATTTGCTTTATTTATCATTGAAAATAAGGAGATTCACACATGTATCTACATTGTTTAAACTGTTAAAGTATGAGTACAACGTCTTCAACATTCTCAATCGTCCAGCCCCATTGGAAATACAGAGCATGAAATTCATAAACGGCGATGGTGATGTTTTATCAAAACGTTGTTCAAATTTCTAAAACACGAAACAACAAACGTTTGTTACAATCATAGAATAAGAAATTTGTGTGATGACCTGGATGACATCATGAAAAGGTGTGTAGGAATTCCTCCACTGTTTTCTTTGAAGGGTCAAGCCCTCATTCTGAATATACATGTTGATCACATGACTTATGAATTAGGAATCCATCTAAAATTTTAGAAATTAACTTACATTGTATTTATTTTCATTTACAGTTGTTTCAATTTATACATAATTATGGATTAATCAATTGATTTTCAGATTTTCCTCTTTATGTAAGTTTCGTGGGTATGCTAACTGGTGTATGGGAGTGCGCATTGTAACAAATGTCACAGTATCCCATATCTACTTAAAACATCCGATATTGTATTTAAAATGTAACCATTAGCTCAAAGTGGTTTTACTATTTTGTTAGTAGAATTAATCACAGGTGAGAATAACTAAAGGTATGTAATTACCACTTAACCATTATGTGATACTAAGTATATATAAGCAGTCAATTATCTTAAAAACATACCATTAGAGACGATTCTAAACCTAGTTCTAAGATGAAAGTATGGAATTTCACTCATAAAATATCATAGACATGAAAAATGTATCAGTTTGATGATTGAACAATGCATATTGTGTTATAGGGACATGAATCTAAAGGGTGACCAAAAACAACACCCAAATTAAAATTGAAGTAATGGATGTTCCAAAGGTATAATATAATTATGTTTCATATTTAAGATAATTATTTTCCCATTATTTTTATATACACTGGTGTTTCATCCTCAAATATATTCACATAAAAAGAACAACATGTAACAATGTGGTTGGTGGCTTTTGTTCGTATTTAATGTGTTCTTTAATATCGTCATTGAGAATATACTTTTGATTGTATTACTCAATTAGTCACTTTTAATGACATATATTCATATATTACCATTAAAGGGTCAGTTGCAAAACTTATTGATCACTCCTTCCTTTTTTGTTTTTGTTCATGCATTAATAAATAAAATTTAATTTCTACCCTCAAACGTTAGCTAAATTTTACATTCCGTTTGAACTCTACTTTATTCTATGATGAATGTTGTCACTATTTTCTCTTTTTATCGTACGTAACAAAAGGTACGATGGTAGTCAGCTTGACGGGCGGGCGGCGGGCGGGCGGGCGGGCGGCGTCTCACTTTTCAGCTTGTCTACAGGTTTCCAGCCAAACCATTTGAGGGATTCATCTGAAATTTTCAGGGATGTTTCTACATATAAACGTCAAGAACTGATAAGTTTTTAAACATTCTGGGTAAATCTTAAGGTGGCCATTTTGGATTTTCCATCCTAAAATCTTCACTTTCAAGACTTGTCTACAGGTTTCCAGCCAAACCATTTGAGGGATTCATCTGAAATTTTCAGGGATGTTTCTACATATCAACGTCAAGAACTGATTTGTTTTTGGGCATTCTGGGTAAATCATAAGGTGGCCATTTTTGATTTTCCATCCTAAAATCTTCACGTTCAAGACTTGTCTACAGGTTTCCAGCCAAACCGTTTGAGGGATTCATCTGAAATTTTCAGGGATGTTTCTACATATTTACGTCAAGAACTGATTAGTTTTTGGGCATTCTGGGTAAATTTTAAGGTGGCCATTTTGGATTGTCCGTCCTAAAATCTTCACTTTCAAGACTTGTCTACAGGTTTCCAGCCAAACCTTTTAAGGGATTCATCTGAAATTTTCAGGGATGTTTCTACATATCAACGTCAAGAACTGATTAGTTTTTGGGCATTCTGGTTAAATTTTAAGGTGGCCATTTTGGATTTCCTGTCCTAAAATCTTCACTTTCAAGACTTGTCTACAGATTTTCAGCCAAACCATTTGAGGGATTCATCTGAATTTTCAGGGATGTTTCTACATATCAACGTCAAGAACTGATTAGTTTTGGGCATTCTGGTTAAATTTTCAGGTGGCCATTTTGGATTTCCTGTCCTAAAATCTTCACTTTCAAGACTTGTCTACAGATTTTCAGCCAAACCATTTGAGGGATTCATCTGGATTTTCAGGGATGTTTCTACATATCAACGTCAAGAACTGATTGGTTTTTGGGCATTCTGGGTAAATTTTGAGGTGGCCATTTTGGATTGTCCGTCCTAAAATCTTCACTTTCAAGACTTGTCTACAGGTTTTCAGCCAAACCGTTCAAATTTTTACATATGTTACACAGTGATAAGTTCTAGAGCTGATTAACTTTTCTGCGGCCATCTTGCTTTCTTGGTCAACAAGACCACAATGCTGTGTTTTAGGTACGATATTGTTCACGTCTGTGCCTTGTTTTAATAAACGTGAGCACCATATTATATGATAAGCATATCTTTTCTCAACATATCAATTTTACGGAGTATAACCGTGGCTGTTTCCCGAGTGGTCTTTTTAAGGCTGTTTAATATGTATTTATATCTTTAAAAATGTTAAGCATCCTATTACTTATAGATATATAGTCTTACATAGTTTATACTCATTAATCATCGTATCATTAATTACATAAGATGCAGAAGAGCTGTATTAGTATTCTCGCTAGAAGAATTCAAATGGTTTCACTATGCTGATGGATTGTTAATCCAATTATAGAAATACGATTACATGACAGAATTCTATAACCCAAAAGACGTTCACTAAATATTTCATTTGTCTCACTAACGATAAAAATCATGCGAAAAATTCTCAGAATGGTGAAAAACTGCATGATTTTGAAAGAATTTCTGGCCAGGGGGAGCTTCCGCTCCCCAGGCTCCCCCTCTGGCTACGGGCCTATGGTAAGTATATTGTATCTTAAATGCATCGTGTAGCGGAGTGGATATTGTTTTTAACTATTTTCCTAATATTGCTCTATTTTTGAAATCATTGCATTTATATTTTGGAAATTCAAATTATTTTTTCACACTTCTAACTGACAGTTCTAATTTATATAATTTGATGATTTACTCACCAATTGTTAGATGTAGCAACAGAAGCGCAACTATAGCAAGGTGTCCTTGCTTAGTCATCGTGGAAACAGAAAGTATCAAAATCCGGCGTGGTGTATTTCAATTACCCAAATACTGAGTGTCCATCTGTATTTGCAAAGCTTCTATTGTATGAAGCAGTCTGAAAATTCTTAGAATATTTGTTTGGATTTGTTTCCTAATACAGTGTGTTTCATTTCTCACTCATATCGTGTTTATAAACAAAGAAATAGTTATATTGACAGATACACAGTATTTGATATTTAACATCAATAGCGTCGATATAATGTTAGTTAATTTTAACTAACACATCAACATTCGCGTCATTAGTTACGCTGGTTGCAAAAATGTTATTGGCTGAAGAGAAGTGTTGAAGTTAAGCATGCAGTGCGGATACGATACAGCGAATCTCTTAATATATTGCTTTAAAAATGTTATTTCGTCACTTATTTGTTTTTAGTCTGCATCCTTTAATCCAAAATATATGCATTTACATGTATGAGTAATTGAAATCATGAAGCTTGCAAAATTGAATGTAAGTGTACTCACTTAAAAGTTCTCACTATGGATGTTTCACGAAATGTCAGAATATTTAATTCATTTATTTTTGTTAGATCTATAATATGATTTGTTAACATATAAATTTCTATGATATGGGTTCCATCGATTTGTTCTTGAGCAATCTCTAAATGCCAACTGAGTATGAAGACATATTTCCCGAGTTATATAATATATCTAAATGTACGACTATTGTCTCTATAGTCGAAGTACCTTGTTCCCCAGCAGGAATATCATAACTGGCAACCAAAAGATCACATATTGCTTTGTACACCTACGTGCCTATACAATAGTCACGGGGTCTTTATCAGATACACAATAGCATTAACAGTAATTGTGTAATTGTTTGGAATGGCAGTATTTGCGTATATTCTGGCAGTTTGGAGGCTAGTCGTTTTCTTCGGATTACATTTTTTCATATCCCCCTAATACACTTTAAAGGGGATACTATAGGACACCTTTATACATCAGACACTAATAAAGTAGACTTGAAATTCTCAGAAGTTTTAGGAATACTTGAACTGTATGATTAAAATCAAGAGATAATCCGAATCGCCTGCTATAGCAAAAACATATCGCATTATATTCCGTGGGTATTCGTAGGGTCCAATTCCTATATCCACTACCCTTTGCATTCGTTTGACTTCACTTCTTAAAATGTAGTTTAACTAGACTCTGCACGCAGGGTATATATCCACAGGGTCTCAATTTTATATTCCCAACCCTATATTTATAGGACCAAAAACAAGGCATGGAATGAATCATCACAATACCAATAATTGCTTAATTTGTTTTTGGGGTCCGTTTGGGCCACAGAGCACACACTTTGCAATAATAATATTAGAAATAATTGTCAATTCTGATTGAATTCGCACCTAATCCTCATATACTTTATTTAGTTTCTGATAAATCAAACCAGATGTAAATCGCATGGTAGATTTTGAAACTACCGAATGTCTGATTGTCCAGATTCAACGTCTCTGATTTCATCATTATTTTGGACAATACTCTCAACGACTGACCTATCGTCATGTATATCGTACCCATTTTAAAGTTCAGTCGATTGACATGCAGATTTGAAATAAGTAGCCATGTTAGCATGTAATTAATGAAACACTTACTTCTCATATGCAAATACAATAATGTTGTGTCATTTGTGACGCATTGTATAAAATATTTGTCTGGCTTATTAAATTGTTAGTCTTCTAGATCAATGGAATATCAATTGCAATTTCCAACCAAGAGTTTGCTTTGTGGCCCATCGTATATCTGAACAAAATTAGAAGAATTGTTTTTGATCGATCATCTTAATCATTGTTCCGTTTTTCCGTTCTCTTGAAGTATTTTTGTACTCTCATCTCGATGGATGACATATTTAAGATAACCATATCCTGCCCAATCAACCAAATTGATGTGATTACAAGACCCAAAATTGACCTTGAAGTCGGTTGACAAAAATTGAACAACAGAGCAATAAATTGTACTTAGCTTTTCCTTTTTTATTGTACAACTTTTTTATATTTTAGAATATATATACAGTATTGAATCAACTTACTTGAGACTTGTTAAAATGGTCTCCGGGTAAGGAGAAATATTTGCACATGGATCATGCATATGCAATAGGAACTCCTACTTTCCAAGTCAAGTATGATATATGATGTATTCAACAATATTTCAGTTGCAGTGCATTACCTTTGGCCAAAGTATCTGGTCAGTTCACAATATTTTAAAAGTCTTATGTGTATGCAAATGGCAAATAAATAAATGAATAAATAAATATAAGCCTCAGATAACATTATTCATTCCCATTATGTGACACACAAAGCCACACTTCACATTACGGAAATTCTATTATAGTCTAGTGGTAGGCACAGTAGGGTCGTAGTTAGACAAACGTTTCCGATTTCTTGGACGGACTCCTACATGCAAGACACGGAAGTACCACTATTCTATTGCTATTCAAAAATCGACCAAGTGGTATTCAAACAACAATGTCTCCATTCTGTAGTTCATTACTTTCTGTTTCTCTAAGTTCAATCGATACTACCGCTTCGACTGACATCTTTTCATTGCAAACTTCATTGATTGCACGATTCCCTTCAAGCCGGCTATCCTCTTCAATTTCGATGTGGTTATTCGCTTGGCATACAGAGATGACAGGGGCCTCTATATTTTGTTCACACGAAGCACTTGATTTTGCGGCTGCTGCCGGTGATTTATATTTTGCGGCGACATACCCCTAAAATTGATGTGAATCTGCATTATCAAAATAAATAAAAAACAAAAAACGTTATTTACTATTATTAACGTATCGTTTGTGATTAATATCACAAGGGATTGTATACAGGGTGTTCCAAAAGTAACAGGACTGGTGCTTGCATTTTGTTAAATATGCACCAATTGTCTTCCAAATTTTACATAATGTACTTTCATGTATCGTTACTAAGACTGCAAAGTTTCGACAAAATATATGAAACTCGGGTTGAGTTATGGTTGCTATAGTAACATGATATCGCAATACCCGGGGCAACATTCCACGCAAAAAGTTACAGAGACATTAAGCATTTTGCACATCCCATATCATTTTGTACATGCCAAATCAAAGTTGAAATGCAACAACTGGTGGGTACTGGGTTTTACATTTGTTTTACATCATTTGATATTCCTATGTATCCTCTACTTTGAAAAATAGGCTCTTCTTTGGTCAATACAAGAGTAGTACTCTGTATCCATGTCCCAAACACATGAGTGAACCCATTTGAGGAAATGTCACGCAGGGTCGATTGGACAATTTGGAGAAGGTCATTCTCATCTTTAAAGGTCTTACAGCACTGTTTAGCATTCCGTTCTCAATATTAGTAAAAATTAGATATTGCATGATCAGAAGAGTATGGTACATGGTTTGAGACCTCAAGACCTAGCTCCTCTATAGTTGCATGGTCTTTAATGCTGACCTGCAGGCAGGCGCACTATCAAGGTGGATGACTGGCTTCAAATTGGGTCTTTTCAAAAACTCAACCTTGAGTTGTTCAAACTGTTACACATAGTGATATTCCAAGAAATTGAATAAATATTATTATCATTATGAAATCATACTTGAATCTGAGTTGTATCGCAACATCTTTACAACAAAGCAACTAATAAAATAAAAAAGAAATGTTCTATTATCACTGTATAAAATAACGAATATTGCTTGCAAATAACGAGCAATTCTAGTGGTTATTTGCTTCAAATTGCATGTTATAACCAGTAATCATCACTGACAGAACGCAGACAATAACTGCATATATGGAACACACATATATGCAGCTGCATATAACAAACATCTACGGAGAATACTGACTGACTGCATATACGGGTACTGTCACTGAGTATATTTGCTTATATTCAGACATACTTTGCATATTTGCTGTTTACTTGTGATTATATGCAGCGCTGAAACTGCATATACCTGCTTATTTGGGATAGACAAATATAAGCAGTTGAGTATACTAGATATATATAAAAATTAAAACTGATTATATTTGCATATGATCTGCATATATGCCAATTTTCATGAGTATTTCTGCATATTTTGAGATAAGTAATATGCAGCATGTGAGTATATTGAGACATACACAAGAATATAAACTAACTACATTAGCATATATAGAGTCAAGATCGGTATATTTGACATATTCTTGCTTATTTAGGAGGACTGGTAGACGCTAATTTGGCATAAACATCTGTTAATGTAAATTCATATTTATGAGCATTTGAGTGTTGTAGCTATAGGTTTGGTTTACTGTACTTGTTTTTTGGGGTAAGAGATTTGAAAAAATTGCACATAAACAGCTTTTACGTTTTTATTATAATTTATTTTAAATTTCTTTAGATTTCTATGTACAGAGTAGGCCAATGAGACGACCTCTATAAGTAATAACTTCAAATAGTATACATGTCATGATATAGGGAGAAAATCATTGTTACAACTTATTAGCCCCGTGAAATAATATCGCTTGAAGATGGCAATGTTTTGATCCACCTTTCATATCGCTTGATACATATATAGACATATTTACATTGCACTGTAATTATATTTCTTCCTTTAAATGATACATAATTATTGTAGGCAAAAATATGAATGCCTATTTCAAATCATTGAAAATTATATTCTCTCTCGAATGATAAGCCTAATAATGATTTTACTTTTAAATGGATTTACTCATTATGTTTTGGCCAAACCTGTATACTGCTAAATGAATATATTTACATTGAATTGTACATGATGTAACATTATATTTCTATCTTTAAAATGGTGCGAACTAATGCTCCAAATCAATGTACGCATATTGCCCAATCTTGAAAACTGTGTTTTTTGTAGCAAGATATGGCCTGTCTTCCGGTAGCAAATTCTCGTACGATATCGAATTCTGCTTTCTCCATTCAAACTCCTTTCTTCTTCATCCTAGTGTCTTCTACACGTTTCTCAATATCTATGTAAATTCAGCTATCACATGAATTCTATTTTGCGGGAAATTTGACACTGCACACAAAGACACTGCTCTGAAGACACTCCTCTGAAGATACAAAGACACTGCTGTGTATTTTATTCAATGATACAAAGACATTAGTTTATAGCATACTGTTCAGCCATACAGTATCATGGACCTTCCAAGACAATCAATTTATTAAATTATCAAGATCAATGCCAAATCTTATGTTTACAACAATTTGCCAGGTGTCTTTATTGTGTTTTTTTTTCATTATCAAACTCAATCATCTATCCATTAAGGGAAATAAAAAGCAAGCTAAAGTTTAACTTACGAGAGGCTTCGTCGTGTTCCTGGGTCTGGCGTGGAGCAAATGGCTGACTGGCTAAATTGCCACATGGGCTTCTAATCAAAAGCCCATGATTGCGCCAATGTGTAGACATTCTCACAGTATGGCTTTATGATTATTTACTACTCAACAGACATTGGCCATTTGGCAAGCTTAATGTTTCCCTGTCAACCACCTGTGTGCGTGTCACGTACGATTATTACTTGCGCATCATAGCTCGGAGACATGCAGTTTGCTCAATATCCACCCCCTCATTTTTAGTTATTCAATAACAAAATATATTGTTAAAACATAAAATACTAAATTCTGCGACATTTTGCTGCTATTGAACAGTCATAATGCTGTTTTGATGAACCAATGATTTGACATCTCTAATAAGTAATCTAAACATAAACAATTACTAATTACCTGACACAATTGCACATAGGGGCCGGATGTTTGGAGAAGCACCTTGATAGTTGAAACCAGGAATTGTTTTGAATGGTATTTGTGATTTGTATAGAATTACCTTTTCATTCTTAGCATTCAAAATACAAACTAATAATTCACTTTTTGATGTATTCAGTTTTAATTCAAATAACAAGCTTATTCATAGTAAATCTGAATGACATTCTGATGATTTAAGAATTGTATTAATCTTGCGTCAAGATCCTTGACCCCCTCCCGACATAATACATGTATCTCTTTAATAATCTGCAATCAAGAGATTGATAGACATAATTTAATCAGATAAATGGTTTATCTAGTTGTAAAACATTTGTTCGGACACTTATTTTATATTTGTGTAGGCCTTGGTGTATATTATCTATATGGGGATTCAGCAGGGGGTTATTGGGTCAAATGTATTTTCCTCCCTTATGTCTGGGTCACATTTGCCGAGATTCATCGGCCGCTGATTGAGTATTTTGTTCCAGACTGAAATATGGGTTGCAATCAAATGTTTCGAAAGCCATTCACCATGATTTAAGTAAAACATATTATTAAAGCTCTTTTTTAGACATTCAATCAATTTAAATCAATCAGGTTTGAATGCGATTGCATACATGTGTTTGCAGATGTAGTGTATTTTACTCACATTTTCACATAATAAGAGCTGTCATTTGACATGTAATACTGAGTTTTCAATATGTTGATACAATTGTTTATTATTTTGCGATAATTACAGCTTTAATCGGGGATAGAGATTTCGACAAAGTACACGTACATTTAGTATTACAAGTCAAAACCCTTTTTTACTTTACATCATAATCCCGGGATCATAATTTACTAGGAACCCAGATGCTAGAGGAAGCAGAAGATAAACTCACATCAAATACGCTAAATGAAATTATTAAAAATATAATTGGTATTAAAATTCTCAATATTTTATTTCAACAAATGCCTTGATCTCAGATATTACTTTCCCATGGATTTAAAAATCATCCCAGAACTAATTATAGGTAACACCATTGTGCACAAGCCGTCTGATTGCATTACTCGCTAAAATAACATCCTTAGAAGTGAACAATCCAAACATCTGATAATAATGTAGCTAAAGTCCCCCCTCCCGGTATCCATGCCCACCTTGTTCAGTTGTATCCTTAAAATGTTGAACTACCTTTTGCATTCCTTCAGAGATAATCGGTTAATTTCTGAATTTAAAAGAAATTTAATTATACAATGTAGCACGGGGATTTAGAAAAACTGGCTATAGAAATTAATCCATTTAACTATATCAAACGGATTAATATCAGTGAGAACTAAACTCATTTGCAAGAATTGAATAATTAAGGATTAAAGTTTTGTGAATGTATTTGGGAATGGAAAACAAAGCAAGGTCCAATTCAAAATAGAAACAAGGGTATCTCTGATCAGGTTTTGTCTCTTCATTCTCATATTATCAAGTTATCAAAAAATGATATTTTGATTCACAAAACTGCACCGAAACATTGAAAAGTACACGGAGGCAACCGCATTTGCAATCTATAGTTCTCAAAAAGCAGGGTTATTAAAAGCCAGTTTCAAACTGAAGTTAAGAAGCCGGTTTTTGAAACCCAGTTCCTAAAATTCAAATTAGAATACTATCTTTCTTTTCTATTTAAACTTAAATCAATTTATTATAAACAAACTATCCCGGGCAAACTATGACCAAGTGCATCGGGAATACAAAACTCCTGTAAATGAGTTTTATAAGACAATGAAATCAACGCTGATTGAAACATAAACACTATAAAATGATTTAATCTTCTTTCGATTCCATTACCTGTTATATTTTTTTCTAAATACCGGCTTTACCGGGAGGAATTTAACATGGGGTTTAATTCAAAGGCAAGAATCACTAATTAAGCGGATTAAAAGATGTTGGACGTCGCTCCAGTGATTTATATTTTATGGTTCTGAATTGATGTGCAGATTTTAAATGCAATCGAAAACATGACCAAAAGAGTCTAGACTACCATTTTCTTTGATCATGGGGAATGGAAAACAAAGCAGCGATTTGAAAAAGTAAACAATTGAATTGCTATGCATAATCCATGATTTAATAATTTAATAACAAGTTCAGCGGTGAAGCCAGCTTTCCGTCGGGGGGGGGGGCGATCTCCATTAAAAACATGGGTTTGCACAAGTATTCTTTATCAGCAACTTATTCATAACTGCAAGGAAGATCTCTCTTTTCCGGTGTGACTTAAAAGGTGTCGAAAAATCACAATTATAGTAAAAATAGATTATTTCGAAATCCATCCTGTAGTCGCTTATTATACACAGGTAAAGTCATATTCATAAAGAACTACGGTACTTACATTCTTTAGTTGTGTTGTTTTATCATGGTTAATAGAAAAAGACGCACAAATAGTCCGTTATTTATTTGTATGCTCAGTTATAAAATGAGCAGAGCAACTTAGAAATAGCTTAATATAGTCAGAAAGAGGCAATTATAATGTGTGACTATATTGCACACTTACAGAGTATTGCGTTTGCATATATTTGAGTATTCTTAACTCCACGTATAATCAGTGCTTATTTGTGCTGTTCTACAAATAAAGAGGAGCAATACTTGAATATACAGAGTGTTCCATATATGCAGCGAGTATTGTCTCTGTACTGTCTCTGTTTATATGTGCTGAGTATATTTGCTGATTACTGCACATTACAAGAGATTCTTACAAATAGACACTGCTTATAACAAAGCAATATTCTCTATTTCATATAGTGTATAATAGGTGAATTAGATACTTTCTTCGGTAATACAAAAATGTTAGATATCACATTTCCAGGAATAGGGATGTCATGTTAGTATGTTCTGAAACTTTACAATTTTAGTTGCAATACTTCAAAGTACATTATGTAAGATTTTGAAGACGATGGGTTCAAAATTGACAAAATACCAGCACCAGTCCTGTTACTTTTGGAACACCCTGTATGCAAGTATATATATGCACATGTGACAAAGGAAAAATAACAAAAAATGTAACAGAAAACAGCAAGAAAGGGTCAACACATCTAAGACCAGTCATAAGGAAAACCCCATCTATATCAAACCACGTGAAAAGAAGTTTCAAGTACTCTCAATGAAGGCCACAAAACCACATAACACTTCAGTCAAACTGAAGTCATTCCAATACTATTACATGGTGAAGAATTGACAATATATAATGTAGTGTAATTACTATATAGTCGGATATGTGTTCAGTTAATGAAGAGTAAGGACCGATTGCGTATGTATCTGAAATCAGAAATAAGCAAGAGACGTGGATATATAGAACGAGGAATCAAAATGTTAATTGTGCCTTTCATAGCATTACCCGTTAGTAAGAGAGGGGGAGCTCTTTCAAGATGTTATCACGCAGGAAGTAAAGGACAGAGAGGGCACCAACCTACCTAGTATATGTATGTTTTAGTGTTGTAAGAGTGTATTGTAGTGTATACTTACTGAAAAATGTGTTTCCTTTATAGTTCTACATTGTCGGTTATATCGTATACATATTCCAACAATTGTCAGTAAAACAATAAGTCCTCCAAGGGATGCAGCAGCTGCGATATACCACGATGTAAAAATGTTCATTCGTTGGGATTGAAAGATGTCGCTAGCAGTGGTCATTGTGTTTACCACGCATGAATAATTGGAGCTGATCAGAACATCCCTTTAAATACAAAGTAAATATCAATATGATAACAAGTAAGAATACTGTATATCGTTATATAAAATAGCAGAAAACGTCAACTGTACAAAACATACACTGTTTCATATTTACAGACCTGCTATGATTATTCGGAGAAACCTTCTTATTTCTAGTTCAACAAAACTTCGTTCTTTCCGATATTCGTAAATTAAACATTTAAGCATATATCCTCTCACCTGTATGCAGCAAGAACCTGGAGAATAGCTTCGCTATATCTATCTTTTTTGACCAGTGGTTCTGCAAGTGTATTGATACAGGTCAACAACTCCCCTGTGAAAGTTGTTTTCAAACTCTCGCCTATTGATGTGCGCATCTTTGGAAATACAAGAGATGTGTTCAATTGAGAGAAACTATTTTCGGATTTTAAAATAAAATTCGTTTTATCACATACCAAGATTCTTGTTTGGTATTGCATAAGGCAGAGTATAACATAGTAATTATGATATAATATAGTATATTTAATAATATTTTCATAATCTAGTTTAGTCCAGTCCAGCCCAGCCCAGCCCAGTCCAGTCCAGTCCAGTCCAGTCCAGTCCAGTCCAATGTAGTCTGGCCTAGTCTAGTCTAAAAATATTGTTTGACTGACTAATAACAACTTTTGGGAAGCTTCTCTCTTGTCAAACATACCTTTTGATCTGAAGTAGACACTAATATGCCTATTGTGTCGTCACAGGCATATTTACCTTCAAATGATGTATTGCGTATGTGTGATATGAATACATCCCATGGATCAGCACGGTCGGTGTCGTGCATGGAATACCTATAAAAGTCAGTGTTTTAGGTATTATTGTCAGTCGTTTGAACCATATGAGGGCTTTGACAAAACATACATACATACATTGGTAGATTACGAAAACCCAGTAGTGGTAACTGTTCATATAGTACAATCATATAGCACAATCACAACAATGTATCATTTCTGCTTCTGAACTTAGTGGTTACCTTTCTATTGCAGGGATGATTGCTATAAATACTTGAACTCCTTCGTCACAGTTTACTGTTTCATTACGTGTACACTGAGTGCTGCTGTGTATTCGTATGTCCTCTTGAGCACCATCCACTGCTTTGGCTACACACGTAGATAATAATAAGCCACACGATGAACAGAATCGCACGCTTGAACAGAATACACTTTTGGGGATGGAAAATCCAAAATGGCCACCTTAACATTTACCCAAAATGCCGAAAAACGAATGAGTAATAAACTTTCATAGGTAGAAACATCCCTGAGAATTTCAAATGAATCCCTCAAACTGTTTGGCTGGAAACCTGTAGTCAAGCCTTGACAGACAAGATTTTAGGACGGAAAATCAAAAATGGCGGCCTTAACATTTACCCAGAATGCCGCAAAACTAATCAGTTCTAAACGTTCATAGGTAAAAACATCCCTGAGAATATTTCAAATGAATCCTTCAAACGGTTCGGCTGGAAACCTGTAGACAAAATTATTCGGGACGCCCCCCCCCCTGCCCAACCGCCCGGCAAACCGATTACAATATAGCACCTTAGGGTGCGATAAAAACATGTTAATAAATGCATTGATCAATACCTTATAAACGCTGAGATAAACGTAAAAACGTGTTAATCAATATAGTATAAACATAGAAACATGTTAATTATCTATTGCAAATACGTGTTAAAACAAGCGTTGTTTTGGCATTTCAGGTTTTTAGAGTGTACGCATCTCAGATAAATCCGTATGCACAAAATAGAAACCTTCAATTCCGTTTTACTATTTGTTTTCGAAAGCTGTAAAGTGTCTTTCATTTTTTCTTATTTTTCTCCAATTTTCTTTTTATTCCAATAGTTGATGCGGAAGTTATGCCTTGGTCACATAGGCTCCGATTTTCACTACGGCGCCCGGCCGATGAGTATTTTGTTCAAAATCGGCCGGCGAGCCCGGGCATCGTACGGGCGCCGGGCGATGATCGCCACTCATCGGCCGATTTTTAGACATCGTACGGGCGCCGGCAGAGTTTTATCGCGGAGATAAAAGTTGCCGATGTCTTGGCGATTTTTTCTCAACCAAACTCATCGGTACCTACCCGGCCGTGTCCCGTCCGGTCATCGTACGATTATCTTACGGCGCCCGGTGGCATCGCACGGTCATCTTGGGATTTTGCGTGCTGATTTGTTGATAAATCTTATTAATGGTTACTTATAAAGTGATATAACGGTTTTAGAAATAATAACGTAAGGAATTATAATTACTACACACTGTCAGAGATTTTTTATAAAACATAAATGGAACGATTAGGTATTGTAAAACAATGACACACATTTGAATTGCTGGGTCGTTGGGTTGATCTAGTCGTTCTTATATTGACATTAATCGTGTATGTCTGTCATACACATTGAATAGCGTGATATATTTCTATGCGTATATTCACTCATGCATATACCATTACAAATCATTTATTTTAAAAATCTTCTGAATGTTTTTGTGAGTACAGTATTTTCAAGGGTCACAATTTTAATACGAAAGTTCACTGTCTCAATTACAGTTAATATGCCAAAGGCTAAGGATAGAGGGGATAAGGCCAATGGGCCATATATCAGGAAGGCCTTGGGAAGACAGGTGGAAAAAGACAATAACAATGCAAGTGAGCTGGTGGATGATGAAGATTTAGATGTGTCTAGGGAAGAGGGTACTCCACTTGAAATAGAAGAAAAAATCGCCAATTTCTTTGAAGATATATTTTATGACCAAACAAATTCTCTTTACGAGAACAGACAAAAGAAAGATGCAGAAATATGGAATTTAGCTAATATGAATTAAGGTCAGGGTTCACTTTGATGAAAAGACCACGTGCAGTACGACAAGTGATTTTAGACGGTCATATCTTTCACCATGAGTACTTTCTGGGCATAAATGCAGTGTTTTTTTTAAAACAATATGTTTTCTTTCAATGGAAGTACCCATGATACTAAAAAATTTTGAAAAATTATGAATAGGGACCCCATGTCAGGATTTTTTCTAAATATTGAACCTATTTACTCAAAAGAGGATCTTTCTGATTTTTATTGCATGAAAACGTTATTATCCTTGAAGTCCTGTCTATCGAAGTATTTTGTTTTCAAATCTTGCATTCACGCCATGTGGAACAGTCATACCGGGTCATACAAGAATTTAGTAAAAATCTAGAGGCCTGTAGCTCGACCGATGTCCTGGCGGGTGCCGTACGGCCATCGGCGGATAGCCTTGCGATACCCGTGCGATGTCTTTCAGATTCAATTGATTGCGGGCGCCGCGCGATGCCTGTACTAATGTGACCATACTCACGATTAGATCAAGACATCGGTAAAAAGTCACCGGCGCCCGGTCGATTTAGAAATCGGCCGATGACTACTCATCGGCCGGCGCCCGGCGGCTATGTGACCTAGGCATTGTGGTCACATTCACAATGATACTAACACATTTTGGAATAACATGGACGTAGGAGACCAGCATTTTTGATGATTAATCAATATGAAAAAATAACTACTTAGCGAATGTATGTGAAGCTCTAAGTGTTCTGGGTTACCAAAGTATCCGACACTTGTCGAAGTATACTGACTTGACCCAAGTATTCTGGGTTTACACGTTTTATCAAATACACTGGTGGGTGCACCATGCACAAAGTGCCATTAATCTAGCTATATAAAGCTAAGTTCACACCAACTGCGCTTTGATGGCAAAGCCGCAAAAAATCTTTCATCTGTATAATATAAATGTCATTACATAACATGTAGACAACATTAAATAAGAAATTATTGTTTTTTCTGATACCCATGCGCCAAAACAAAATCCCAATGACAGACTTCAAATGTTCACACTCACCTTTTCATAGATTACTCCCTCAATATGTCATCAACACCCGGTTTGCTCCTGATATCATTGTAATACTCGGGATTATATAAAATTGTTCAATTGTCTTTCACTTGGTTGTTTTTTTTCTTTTAACAGTTAAAGAAATGTTGAATGTTGAAAAGTGTTTGTCTCCTGTAATTTGATTGATTGATTGACATATTTCAAATGAATCAATCAAATTGCAAAAGACAAACAACTTTGGAAATAACAGAATTGTCTTAGATCTATTTGTTTTCTTAAAAAAGCAAAATAAACACACCTTTCAGGTGGAAGACATTTCAAATTAGTATATTTTAATAATCAGTCTTAGTGATATCAGGAGCAAATCAGGATTGATGAAATATTGACAGAGGGAGAAATCTATAAAAAAATGTGAGTTTGACAATTTGAAGTCCGTCATTTGGGATTTTGATTTGAAGCATTTGTATCAGAAACAACAATAATTTGTTATTTAATGTTGTCTACATGTTATGCAATGATGACATTTATCTTACAGATGTTAGATCTTTCTTCAAATTGAGACCCTAATTATAAAATTCCGACCAATAATTCACACCTTTTTGGATAATATTTTTTGTGTTTGATAATCTTCTAGTTATTCGTATTGCCATATACTATAATTTTGGAATTGCAATCGAAAACAATTACAGCCTATCAAGACATTCGCAAAATTAATTCAACTTCATGACGTCATATTATATATGGACCACCACGGGCCTATTGGTTCAAATAATATTTAAGTCGATGTACCTCAGGAGGTACATTGCATATGGTCCTAAAATTACATGTATGCATTTAAGATAGGTGATACTATATCTCGAATGCATTTCATGTAAAATGATGAAATCTTTTCTTTTAAGAAGCTTTCGTGCAAAACTTTTCGAACGACCCTAATATATCTTCGTTCGATACGTTAAATGTTCTCGATTCTATTTTACTTATTGAGCTTAAACACAATGATAACCTAAGCATTGGAATAGGTCAATATAAATTCTTCTTCATTTCACACGACAATGTACTTTGGACTATTAACATATCGAACGTTTAGTTAATATGCATGTATAATGCAGCTTTGCTAGGTTTTTTAATCATAATATAAAATACGACATTCAAAACGAAACTGTTTTTTATCTCAATGCTTTATTAAAATAGATTTATCACCACCGAATAATATTTCGAATACAATGCAAATATTTTTGTCGATCTATATGATTAGAGTGTACAATTTATTCAAGTCACTGTGTGTTACATGATCGGGAATACTTGTTTGGTCGAAGCTGTTGAATCCAGGCCGACTTAAGACTAAGCTGGCAATAATGCTTCGTAGTGACGTGGGTCCCGGCAGACTGGGTACATGCAGAGACTGACTGACGGGCCCTCGATCCATACATGAATTCAGGCTAATGTTTTGTCACAGCTTTGTTAGATGTAGAGTTGTACTCATCAACGATTAGTTATGTAGTTTTATTCAATGATTTTTCTACACTGTCATATTGTAATGAGTTAATTGGCAATGTAACCAATTTTCTCAAACCGGGTAACCTGAAGTAAACAAATGGAATAACGTTTTAAATGTCAATTTAGACACTACCCTAACTGCTTGCAACTTTCTTTAAAAAGGGGAAAACGCCCTTTCTTAATTTGCCAGATAGCCTCAAATCTGAAGGATGATCCTTAAAAAGTCTAGAAAAGATATAGGATGTCGTTGGCAATAAATATAATTAAAACCGTTACTATTTTTCGAAACATAGTATATAACTCGTCACTCTCTCTCTCTCTCTCTCTCTCTCACTTGGTGAAATCAATAAAATAATATATGAAAAGATGTTTTATTTTCGGATATTTGTGTAAAAAGATGCGTAGTAATACAGTATTTCCATTCAGTATTGTAATTATTATATTATATTATGAAGGAAAAAAATATAATCGGCATAATATACTCAATTATATAGAGATTAATATAATATAATTAGAAATAAGTGGGATCCAAATATGATGATTGCAGTTTATTTAGAATTTTTTTCTATTCTAAAAAATATTATTTTCTTGTATTTTCCAATCTGAACAGAATACATCAAATTATATTGTATTATTTGGGTTCTAAAAAATATTATACGTGATTATTCTCGCCCAACTTGATGTACAATCCATCTGGTTAATTACTTGTCCAAACAAAACAAAGAATGCACA